GGGTGTCTTCTCAAAGATCCTGATCAATCCAGTCATAAAATTAACGGAGCGGGGCATTCACATCCACCCTTACTTGCACAACTTGTTTATCAGGTCAAGTTCTGAGATCAAGTCGCGTCAAGACACAGAAACATCTGTCCACTGTCTGCAGGCCCATGGCTTTCTTTTCAATCTACAGAAAAGTTCTCTGGAACTTACACAGAGAGTAGAACATCTGGGCGTCGTAGTAGACACAACATGCAACTGTCTTTTTCTAATGGAACCAAAGGCAAAGAAAATGAAGGAGATGTCAGAGGTGATCATCAAGAGCAGATCATCAGCGATGACACTTGCAAAATTGATGAGCCTATTGATTTCCGGCATAGACCCCGTCCAGTGGGAACGGTTGCCCACAGCAGCTTTACAGCAGCTTCTGATCTTTACAGCAGCTTCTGAGACCTTTCCAGCTGGAATTATGAAGAAAGGATCTTTCCATCTGGGTCCCTCTGACGGTAAAAACCAGCCTTGTCTGGTGGACAAGAGTGCACAACCTTTTTGCAGGGAAAGAAATATTGCAGATGCCAGTCTGTCTGGTTGGGAAGCATTACTAGAAGACTTACCAGTTCAAGGTCAGTAAAAAGTCAGTAAAACAGTAGCTGTTTTATTACAAATGAACTTCAGGAACAGAATGGAAAGAGAAATGGCTGAATTACAAGTTATTACAACACTTGGAACAAAGACCTCCCCAGGACTCAACAGGGATATAGGATTTTTATCCCATTACATATGCTAACTCATTCCATGTTCACATATGTATTCTCAGCAAGAAGGACTATAAATCCTCTGTATTTTAGTGTATTTCTTTTGCAGAATAGTATAATACTGAATGTAATGCAAAAGATATTGGATTGCTTGAGGGGGATGTAGGCTCAAGTGCCCTCCGCGCCTGAGAGGAGAGAATGAAGATTCCCAGTCACTTCCCACAATTGGAAAAGACACCTTTAGACCTTCACCTGCTAGTTTGACATATGTATTGCTTTACAACTGTTCACCTTATAACCATAACTTTTTTTTTTGAGCCCCCGGAGGGGATTTTTTATTGATTTTTTAATCACTACAAAAAAACTACAACAGAAAAAGTGGAGGGGAAACTACACATAAAGGAGAAAGTAAAGTACCCACTACTATCTAAAAACCCAAGAGAGGAGATCCTCCAACTAGCTTTAATGCATCAAGTCTTTTCATCGTTGTTCTTTTTATGAACTGCGTCAAACATTTAAAACCTTTTAACCTCAAAGTTTACATTTAACTGCCCAATAACAATACCCCCAATCATCCTCAAGAACCAAAGTTCTCAAAGGCACCAATCAGAGTCCTTCAGCCTTTACTTCTTCTTTTCCCTTCTCTTCCGCAACTTGTAGGGACTTTTCGGGGCTGCTGCCCCCTTTATAACCATAAGTTGTTATTTGGTGTCACTATGCATATCTTGAACATCATCATGTTACATGTTAATTTGCTGTTCATTCTCTGGATAAGTTTGAACCTTCCCTGCCAATCCAGTGTATTTGACAAAGTGTGCATGCACACAAAAGCTCATACCTTGAATAAACCTTTGTTGGTCTTAAAGGTGCCCACTGGACTCTAAATTTGTTCTACTGCTTCAGACCAACACGGCTGACCATCTGGATCAGTTCAAGGTCAGTAGTCCAGAAATGAGATGAGCCTTTCTATCAGCCTCCTGGAGCTTTGGGTGACCTGCTTGGTCTTATTCTATTTCAGCCCACAGATAATTGGTCAACATGTTCTAATGAGACAATGTGTATGCCAGAGTCTACCTCAACAGGCGGGGGTGTGCGTTTGTGTCCAGATCTTCAATGATCCACAAGGAAGCAATCAAGATCCTAGCGTGGGCAGAGAAGAACCTGGTGTTGATCAAGGCAGAGCATATAAAGCACTGATGAATATCCAGAAGGGTTGGCTCAACAGGCAGATCATTCAGGGAGCGGTGGCACAGGCAGTTAAACGCCTGCTACTAGTAACATCGATACCCACCGCGACCAGATTGAGCACCTGGCCCTCGTCCCAGCTTCCGCTAACCCAGCGGTTCGAAAGCGCCATTAATATCAAATAAGCGCAAGTAGATAAATGGGAACCTACCTTAGATGGTAGGGGGCACCCTCCCCCGCGGTGGGGGTTGTTGGAGGGTTGGAGCTCGGCGGACGGCGAAAGCAGCGAGCGGCAAAAAGATGGCGTCCGGGTACATCGGTGGCGAAACCAGACGGCGGCGGAGAGGCGGAGCCAGGACGACGCATGAGCGTGGCGGCGCAGGCGGGGCGGAGCCGCGAGGACAGAGCCAAGGCCGCGCCGGAGCATGCCGTGCGGCAGAAGGGCCCAGCCAATCCACCGCTGAAAGATCGCCAGGAAGGAGCCAGAAGCCGAAGCTGAAGACGACGGAGCCGACCCGAGAAAGAAACCCCTCCACTGGGTGCCGGTAGGGATGTCCCCACCCCTAAGAATTGTGGCCATAGGTTAGGGATAATGAGTAACTGTAGCCGCTCAGAGACCCCTTCGGGGGTTAGAGCGGGGTAGTAAGTCGAATGAATAAATAAATAAATAAATTCAGGAGAGGGAATGGCCCGTTAAGAAAGACCTGTTCCAGCTGAAAACGTGTCATTTCGGTCTTCCTCTGGTGGACCTCTTTGCTTCACCAAACAACCATCAGGTGAGCTGGTACTGCACCAGATTCTTCTATCCCAAGGCCGATGCAACTGATGCCCTGACGTCTACTGTTCTCCTATCCCCCCCATACTGGTTCTTCCCAAGTTGGTCAGGAAGATCAAGGAGCAGATATAGTAGCACCACATTGGTCTCGGCAGCCATGGTTCTCCACCCTTCAGGAAATGATAACCTGCCTGCCACCTACACTTCCAGTATCACCGGATATGCTCCCACAAGGAGCAGTTTGGCATCCGTATCCAGACTGGCTGCATCTAACTGCCTGGAAATTGAAAGGGACAACTTCTTACAGTTAGGCTATTCTGTGGAAGTGATGGATACCTTGCTGGTTTCTAGGAAGCAATCAGCCAATAGAATTTACAACACCTCTTGGAAGGCATTTGTCAGGTGGAGTAGAAGAAAAGGGGTTGATCTCTTGAAACAAAAGATCAAATACATTCTGTCATTTCAAAATGGCTATGCCAGTGGCCTCAAGGCTTCTCCTCTGAGATGTCAGGTTGCCGCTTTGATGATGGCGTTGCCACACTTCCAGAGGCCTGAGTCTCTCCTGACACCCCCACATATGTCACTTTCTCAAGGATGCTGCTCTAAAAGATCCAACACAGCTACACAGTTTTCCCATGAGGAAATTGCACAGGGTGCTGTCTGGTCTCACTAGGCATCCCTTTGAACCTATTAAAGAAATGCCTCTTAAACTGTTGAGGATGAGAACCTTGTTTCTTACAGCAGTCACATCAGCAAGGAGGGTGTCTGAACTAGGTGCCCTGTTGGTCAAACTTGATGTACTGGCTTGCAGACTCCTGACGTTAGGTGCCAGGGGTCAGGCAAGGCAGGGTTGTTCAGTCCAAGGTCAGCGTTTCAGAAGTCAAGCAAGGTCAAGTCATTCAGAATCCCACAAGTCAGGCAAGGCAGAGTGGTTCAGTTCAAGGTCAGGTTCTGAGAATCAGGCAAGGCAAAGTCAGTGGCTTAGCTTCTAATGTATGCATTTTGTCCATGCCGAACAGCCTTTCTTAGCTGGTTTTATAGCCACTCACCTAAGGGTCAGGCTTGCAGCTAGCTGCTCAGAAGTGATCCTGCATCTACTCATCGGCAAGCAGCTGGCGTCGGGCCAGGAGACATGCATTTTGCTGTCTTGTCTCCAACTCTGTTCTCAGCCTTCGTCTACAGCACTCTTAAGGGTGTAGGTGATACTGGTGGGCTGGGAATGACCAACTGAAGTTCGCCTGCTGAAAAACCAGGGCTAGAGGGTGTCAGTGGTTCTACACCAGCTGCTGGCTGTGAATCCTGACAAGCCTGCAGTTCAGTTTTCTGCTGATCAGCTTCTGTTGACTCAAGGTTGGTTACATGGGGCTCCTCTTCTCCTGAGGTGTCCTCACTATCACTGAGCCCAGGCTGACTCATGACTCCATAGCTGTGCATTTTCCATGAGGATAAAGTAGTCTTGAGCACAGACCTGGCCTTTAAACTGAAGGTCCATTCAGCATTCCACGGATCTCAGGAGATTTGCCTTCCGTCATTTTGCTCAAATCCCATTCACCCAAGGGAAAGACTGTGGCACACATTGGATGTAAGGCTCATGCTTAAAGCCTTTACTTGTAGGACGGAACATATTAGGAAAACTGATTCGTTATTCATTTCTGTCTCTTCACCGAAGGAAGGAAGAGGTCAAGATATGCCATCAGCAGCGCTCTTAAGGCTTGTATTATTAAAGCTTGCAAGATTCAAAAATAGGACATACTGGCCGGGATTACTGCCCATTCAGTTCAGAGTGCCACAACCAATGCCACAGTGGAAGAGGTCTGCAAGGCGGCCACCTGGTCGACAATATCCACCTGTATAAGACTCTACAAAATGAACACTTATGACTCATCTGATGCAGCATTTGGCAGAAGAGTGTTACAACAGATGCAGAAGACGATGACCCACCCAGAAAATGAGGACACTGCTTTGAGAGGTCCCACCAAGATTTCCTCCGTCTCAGAGGGAGAACGGACCATTCGATACTTACCGTGGAGGGTCCTTCTCCTCTGAGGAAGGAAGAAATCTTGTCCCTCCCGAATTCATCGTCATTCTGCACTCTTCTTTTTCAGCAGAACTACTTCCTGTCCTATTGTTCCTTTACTTGTTTGTTACTCATCTTTTTCCTTGTTATAGTTCGTGTGTGTTGATTAAGTGCTTTTGGAGTTGCTAGAACGGAGGAGATGGGTGACTCCCAGAGCAGAGACAGGAAATGGAAAGAATTTGTTCCTGCCTCCCTGAATGGAGAACAGGGATTGCCCACCAAGATGTCCTTCTTTCCTCAGAGGAGAAGGACCCTTCACGGTAAGTAACCCATGGTCTGTTCTTCAATTGTAAAAGATTGTAAAAACTCCTCTTGTACAGTACACATAAAAATAATGGTTCTCTGATTCTGTGGATTTTCTTAAGTAAAAATATTTGTAGTACACATTCAGTATCGGTGAATTTATTTTTAAAAAGTTTTTTAATTATTAAAAAATGGGCTCAGAGTGGCTCACAGCATAAAACAATAAACAAAAAACAAACAATAAAACAGTAAAACAATAAATAGCAATAGCCAGGGCTCTTTTTGTAGAAAAAGACCAGCAGGAACTCATTAGCATAATAGGCCACACCCAACAGCAGGAACTCATTAGCACATTAGGCCACACCCACATGTTACCAGAAGTGTGGTTATCCAGCCACACCCACCTTTTGCTTGTTATTCTGTTTACCTTCTTTGTTGTCCAAACCCAGGGCCTTTTTTGTAGCAGGAACTCCTTTGCATGTTAGGCCACACACTCCTAATGTAGCCAATCCTAATGAGTTTCTGCTGTTGGGTGTGGCCTATTATGCTAATGAGTTCCTGCTGGGTGTGGCCAACGTGGGAGCCAGCCGGAACTCTGTTCTTGTGCGTTCCTGCCCAAAAATAGCCCTGGCAATAACAATCAAACTAAAACCCATGCCTAAGAAATTCCAGTGCCCAGATAGTATCCAGGACAGTAGGGCACTGGAAAATGCTCATAAACAGAGCCATGGACAGGGCAGGCGGAATGGATTGAATGGCCGCGGCATCGACCAAAGGCCTGGCAGATCAGCTCTGTTTTATAAGCCCTGCGGAACTGTGCTAGGTCTCGCAGGGCCTTGATCTCAAATGGGAGCGTGTTCCACCAGGCCAGGGCAAGGGCTGAAAAGGGCCTTGCCCTGGTTGAGGCTAAGTCTCTCAGGCCAGGGACCACGAGGAGATGTTGATCAGAGAGTGCAGAGCTCTCTGGGGCTCATATGAGGAGAGGCGGTCCTGCAGGTATGATTAAAAAAGCATTTCACTTGTTGCAAAAGGGCAAAACATTTAATAGAAGTGGGGTTTTTTCCAGTGCTCCCCAAAATGTTCGTTTTTCTCCTGGGGAAAAATGGTCTTGGAGGGCAAGGGTAGGTTTTTGTATTTGTTCTGTACCTTCACGTCTCTATTCTCCGCATGGAAACAGGTTGGAGCAGGCGCTATATGGTGTCATGAACTCTGCATTACATTCTCCAGATAGTAAAAAAAAAAATTGAGATGTTTCGAAGTCTTGAGATTGCCTAGAGGTTAAATGGGCTTTGCAAGCATGTCTGCTTGATCGTTTGCTTTCCAGCTTATTTCTTGTCTCAATAGAGTTTGCCCGTCATGAAGCATACCTCAAAAAGGTTTTGAGGGAGGTACAAGGCCGAGAGGTATTGCTTGAGGGATTTGAAAGATTTTATTTTGAAGGCAGTGGCTAGTTGTGCAAACGGAAGAAAGCTGTGATTCTTCTAGGAAATCCTCTGATTCAGAAGTGGAGTGGGGGGGGTTTGCTATGGTGGTCTTCTGTTTTCTTCTTTTTCTGATATACAAAATCTGAATGTGTGACTCTTACATTCTCATTCCATTATCTCAGGCATATTTTTTTAGTTAGATCTTTTAGCCTGGAAAAGTTGGGTAATTATGGTCATGATGATGTAGGGTTAGTTGGAAGGATCCTTGGTAGGCCATCTGGTACAGTGGTTCTCAACCGGTGGGACGTGTACCACTGGAGGAACACAGGATTCTCAGAACAGTCGCTAAGCAATGCATTTGCACCCATGTCCCTTTTCAAGTGTGATGTCTGCACCCTTCTTGCCACGGAATGTGACCTTTCGTCATGCTGGTAGTATCTGCGGGCACTCAAGTGTTTCTCCTAGTCCCCTATTCCCCCTGCATGCCAACAAGTGTCATTGACGTGCTGCTTCCTGTACACCCTACCTCCCAGGCATTACCTGTGGTGCTTTTGCAATTTCTTACATCCTCAAATCTTACTCTAAATGATAAATATCATTCATAACAGAATGCATGTAAACATTTAAATGTTCTCCTTGTAAAAAGTGGGCTTTTTCTTGTTTTTATCATGGTGGGACTGTTAAACCGACTGGCGTGTGTGTGAGTGTGAAGTGCCGACGTCACTTTCGACTTACAGCAACACTATGAATTATGACCTCTGAAATGTTCTATCGCTGACACCCTTGCCTCAGCTCTTGCAAACTGAGGGCCGTGGCTTCCTTGAATGGGTCATTAGTACTTACTAGCAGCACATAGTCTCTGCTCATTCCCGGCAGTGCTTGAGTACTAAAACACAAGTATATGCCACAAATGGTTCACAGGCTGAGGACCAATTCACAGGGCTGTTTTCTCACCGGCATCTTATGGTGAAGACCAGGCCTGACACTCAATTTCTTCCTTTTTCAGCCTAGCTCTTCCTTAACTTGCCCAAATTGAATTCCATTTTATTTAAGACTGTAGTTAATGCCCATTGTAACAATTTGTACCTGTTTTTTTTAAAAAATACGAGTCCGATGGAATGTTCTTGTTTATTTTAAACATTATTTTGTGTAGGTTTTATTTATTTATTTTGTAGTTTTTATTTATTTTGCAAGTCAGCTGTCGAAATAGCACAACAGTCTTCAGGAAGTTTAGCTTCCCGTGCACCTCCTTGCAGATGTCATGAGAGACATGTAAAGGGGGGGGGGGGGATCTCTTTCACATCATGGTCTCTGGCCCATTTTCATCCACAACTATACTGTACTGGCCCAGTGTTGGTTTCCTTTAGAATGCCATTGTATCATGAAATGTGGATAGAATTAGGTGTGACTGCATTCCCTTTGAGCCTCAAAGCCAGTTTAAAATGGCTGTGTAGGTGGGTTGGTGGCTAGTCCATCATTCTGAAACTCTCAAACTCTTTTCCTTAGCAACCATCCAGGTTTTTTTTAGCAGTGATATCTTTTTTAAGCTACCCAGGTTGAACCAAAAAGTGTCTTCCAGATAGTAGGCACATAATACAGTTTGACTCAAAGCAGACATCCTGGCAAACCATAAAGCATGGTTCTCAAATTGTGGTTTCTTTTTCTGGTTTACCTACTGATCCCATACCACAGCTCAGACACCACACCAAACCATGTTGAGCTTCCTTAACCAAGAGGTGTCTTGATATCTGAATGAAGCCGGGAATACCCAGAGCCAATGCTCCCTCTAAGCTCTGGAGTCTTGTGAGCAAAAATTCTGCTTTGTGAGCTACTGGCATTAAAGTTGTGAGCAAGAGATTTGGCTACTGCATAAATTAGTTTGCACTGGGGCCATCCTTCCTGAGCTAAGACAAAAATATGTGAGCCGGAGGCTAAAAAACTGTGAGCTGGCTCACACTAACTCAGTTTAGAGGGAACACTGCCCAGAGCAATACTGAATAAGAGTTTTCCCTCCTTTCAGACAAGCAAGGTGATTTTAATAATTCATTCTTAACCATGTGTCAACCTTCTTTTGAGTTTTGCTGGCAGACTTTCAGTGGGTGACCAGACTTTAGAAAAGTTCATTGCAAAATATATTGTAACTTGAAATCAAAAATTGATGTCTAACGTTTTGATTTTTTTTTTTAGTTATAGAGTAGTAAAATGCTTGCTGTGCCAATGGAGTTTTATCCTTCTCTCATTTATGTACATGTTCAGAAGTGTTGGTGGCTGACTTAGGATTCCTGAATCGAAAATGTGGTGTTTGTTAAAGGTGCAGATAATGGAGGCGCTTCATCGGGCAACTCGTCAGGAATCCCTTCCAGCACTCCGGCTGGGAGTTCAAAATCTACCACAAGAAACCTGGGCTCTTCAGCTGGAGAAAAAGAGGAAGGCAAGAAGGTTAGGCGTCAGTGGGAGTCGTGGAGCACAGAAGATAAGAATACCTTCTTTGAGGGCCTGTATGAGGTGGGTATGCCCTGGTGTTGTACATTGCAAGGGGTCATTTCGAAGAAAAAAAGGTGCAGGAGCTCATTAGCATAACTCATTTGCATATGCCACACCCCCTGACATCACAGGAAGTGTGTCAGAAGGCAACACCCACCGCTCAGGCTCCACTGGGCTGTTTTGGATTTCTAGCTATTGGAAGGGGGGGGGGAACATGCAGATCTGTCCTGGCAGAGGAGGGAGAGCTTGTACCTGAATAAAACTTGGTCTTAAAGGTGCCACTGGACTGTTGGGGGGGGGGAGGGGGGGCTCTGCAGCTTACCTGGCTGCTTCTTGCTTTGACTGAGGGCTGCTGGGAGCAGGGGGTGGGGCTTGTTGCATGTGCCCGCCCCCTGGGCTCTTTACTGCCTGAGCTCTGCTCCTGTGCGCTCCTGCAGGAAATGACCCCTGTACATTGCCATTCTGAAGATCAGAGACTTCATACCTCTGCCTTTCAAAGTGTATTGGGGATGGAGTGGACTGCAATTTACAAATTGCATCCAGGGTTCTTACCTTGGAACTGATAGTGTCTCCAGGGATGTAGGCTGGTGTCGGGGGGAGTCACTGGAGCCTAGTGCCTTCGTAGTTCTCCATGTGGGGAGGGGGCAGTCTGCTTGGAGCCAAACATTTGTTGGCTCACAGACCCAAACGATTTTGTAATCACTGTCAGCTCCGGGAACCTGCCAAATCCACAGGTTTCTGGCTTATAACAAACCATCTGTTGCCTTTGACATCTTGGTATCTGATTTTTTGTCCTGGAGAGGAAAAAGCATTGCTCAAATGTATACATAACTAAATGAAATCCAGCAGACCTTGTCTTGTCTGTAATCTTCTATTTTTCAATCTGTTTGGAATATATGTGTGTATGTGTCCCTTCCAGCATGGAAAAGATTTTGAAGCTATTCAGAACAACATTGCCCTGAAATATAAGAAGAAGAGCAAGCCAGCAAGTATGGTGAAGAATAAGGAGCAGGTCCGGCATTTCTACTACCGTACCTGGCACAAGATTTCCAAGTATATTGATTTTGATAATGGTGAGCAGAATGCAGGATCTGGCTCCATTCTGATGCGAGGCCTGGAGTATAGCTTGGGACCATGGGGTGGTTTCTGCAGCCAAAAGGGGTTTCTGTCAAGGGAGCATGGATTTCTCTCCACCCCGTGTCATTCACTGATGTTATATGCCTTGCATTATGAGAAAGGGAATACTAAGGCCACTCATGTGCATGGCTGGGGTGTGTGTGTGTCTCTGATTCAGTACATTAGGTTGTAAGCCACTCCTGCACATGTCTGGTGATCTGTATGTGGGAGACCTGGGGAATGCACAGAATCCATAATGATGATGCAGTCAACAGGGAAAGGATGCATAGCCACACCATGGGACAGATTACTGCCCACACCCACACAGAGGTGTTGCTTTCCACATCTGTAGTTTTGCTTGGTACTTTTGTGCGGTAGTGCGTAGTTCTGCACATGCAGTAAGGTGACCAGGCTAACATGGTAATTGCAGTGAGAGCATTGCATTTACTCATTTTATTTATGCCAGTAAATAGGACCCCACCTTCCTCTGTGTGTAAATTCCACAAGCAGAACTAGAGATGTAAAACTTCTGGAAATTTTGAAACTCGGGGAAAAACGGACATTTTCGGAAAAATTGAAAAAAATGCTACATTAGCATTTCTTTTGTCTTTTCTAGTTTGAAAGTCATTCTGTTACTTTAGGAACATAAAATATGACTATGGACATTTTTACTTGGCATGAAATTATCACAACTAGCATATTAAAAATATAGTGTATCCAAACAATCTACATACTAATAGTGAAGTCGCCCCTGTGCGTGCGGATACCTAAATCCGTGCATCAGGGGCACTTGGGGGGGGGAGATTTTCGTGCACACTTGGGGCAGTCCCCAGGTGTGCACAAAAATCTAAACACCCGGAAAAAATATCGGGGGATACTTAAATCCCCCCAAAAGTGACAGAGCGTCCCCTGCACATGTGCAGGGAACGCTCTGTGAACTCCCTCGCCGCCGCTTGGGGGGGGGAAGAGACCATGGACCACATCACACCAGGCCCTCCTGTCTTCCGCCGTCCTTCAGAGTTTGCTTAATTTCATGTTCATTGCATCGATAACACTGTCTAACCATCTCATCCTTTACCCGCCCCTTGTTATTACAGAATACCCACCCACATGCAAAAACAAAACTGAAACTTTTTTATTTTCTTCTGACAATCGCACCTCCTAAAGGAAGAAATGCATCTTGTTCTTGCATTGGAGAGTTCAGTTTGTAACCTAGGACTTGCTTGTCCTCAGTGCACAGAAATTACATCAATCTAATACCATATATATATATATTAGAAATGATTTGGAAAATATTTGAACACCTGGTCTTAAAATATTTTATTCATCATGTTAAAGTAAAACATTCCATAATCAATTTTTTTTCTTTTCTTTTTTCAATTTTTCCAATTTTTCGGAAAAAAACAAAAAGGCTTCAGGAAAAAAATGGGAAAAAACCGTTTCCCCCCCTAATTTTTCCAGTTTTTTTTCCGGGCCTTCACTTCTCTAAGCAGAACAAAGGAAATGTTGCAATAAAGCATCTCCCAAAACTCAGTTGACCTGCCCAGACAAACAACAATGACTGGCAGGATTACTAGAATGAAGCCCACCTGAATCAATCCACCTTGTGTTGCCCAGCCAAGCACTGGTGGCCCTTGAATGGGAAATGGCACCCCAGAGCCTGCTGGGCCAGAAGAGGGAAAGTTCTGCTCTTTGCATCTTGCGGCTCTGAGTTTTGTTGATTGGAAGAAAAGGAAGGCTCTAAATAACTTAAAGAAATAAACTGCTGTCCTGACCTGAGGTCCTTCAAAAAGCCACATCTCGTAATAGGTGTTTCTGAGCGCCAAAATGTATTCTTGAATACGAATAATAAACTTCAGGGGTTTTGGAGCAGGGAGGAACAAGCCCTGAATGTGTGCAAAATCCGTGGATATTTTTGAGGCAGTGGTGTCTTGATTGATTTCTGCCTTCACCCTCCGTGTAAAAATCTGGTTGTAGACTAGGAGACCAGCGTTCCTGCTCCTGTGTTTGTTACAAGCTGATTGGATCCTGAATTCCAACTGCGATTACTAGTCTCATGTTGTGCAAATGGCAGGGAGATCTTGGTGGCACCGGTTAAAGAAATGTTGATGTTTGTTTCATTCTCTTGAGAGCCCTGTAATCTGGGTGGTTCTGAGGTGACCACCTCAATCGGACTGTGCGCAAAGAGTGTTTTCTTTCACTTCTAACACCTGTGGGTCTTCTTTTTGTTGTTTTCGCAGTGTTTTCTCAAGGGCTGAAAAAATCCTCCCTGGAGCTCTACGGCTTAATTTGCTACGGGGAGCTAAGGAAGAAGATTGGGGGCTGTGAGTATACACTACTTTGCTCTATAATGAGGGAGGCGCTGGTCTTTCCATTTTCTGGTTAGTTACGGGGGCGAGGGGGAGACGGGTTATAGAATGTCGGGAGGAGCCATGCTCCATAGTGAGGGGGTTGAGGCAAACATACCAGGGATGCAGTCAACATGTTACTTTAAAATAGTCAAAAAGCAACATTCCGTATAATAAAACAGACCACTTTCACTTTGTCCGGTTGATTCCGATGCCCTCACTTTGCAAAGCAGCTTCTTCTCCAGCATTTCAGTTTGTTTTATTTGCTTCATTTATAACCCTCCTTCTTCCCACTGGGGCCCCAAAGCGGCTTACGTCATTCTCTTCTCTTCCGTCTTATCCTCACAACAACCCTGTGAGGTGGGTGAGGCCTACGAGTGTTTGACTAGCCCAGGGTCACCCGGCAGGATTCTGTGGCAGAGGGGGGATTAAAACCCAGGTCTCCCAAGAGCGTAGTCCAGCTCTCTAACCACTACACCCCCAATTTAACTGTTGTTTTATTTTTGCTTCATCGTTGGCAAAAGCATAATATTTTTTAGTTTCTCATGCAGACTGCCACACAGTAAGAAAGCAGATATGCAAGGAAGCATCTGTTGTTCTTTTGTGGGCGTATTTCATATGCAGTAAAGAGATTTGCTAGCCTTTGCATAGAATAAGAATAAATGCCGCATTGGTGGCGCACCGTTTTTGCCAACTCAGAACCTGGGAAGTGAAGTCTGTCTTTTGGGGTTTAGGGGCTTTAAAATGAAGTACTTTCTGCTGGGTATCTGGTCTGAACTCTTGACATATTTGATTCTGATGTGTTTGCCCTCCGCTGGCATATCCCGGTAGCTAAAGCCATTGTGCTGTTTGGCTTTAAGCTTTGAGTTCATCCAAACTGGCTCAGGAAGGATGGCTCCAGAGCAAACATTTATGCAGTAGCCAAATCGCTTGCTCACAACTTTAATGCTAGTAGCTCACAAAGTAGAATTTTTGCTCACAAGATTCCACAGCTTAGAGGGAACATTGGTGACAAGAGCATTCCTTTTTTCCTAAGTGGATACCAGTTCCTTGAGAGTCATCTGTGTACATGAGAGGAACAGTATTGCGTTATTCAAGAACTGTGCCACTTGGAGCTGGCCCCGCGCACAACCTGCTTCACCTTGCACTTTCAAGGATTCTCAGTTGTGTATATGTGCTGTTCTGTTCCCACAATCTGTTTTGCAAATCTTCTAGTTCTTTTCAGGATTGGAGAACCATAAAGCTGGCCTTTCCCCTCTCACTAACATAGGGAAAGGGACTTGCTGCAAGCAGTATACAAGGTGCGCTTTTATTCAAATGGGAAAGCACTCTTTGTATGCCTCTTGCGCCTATCAGTTTCTCAGACGTGCCTGCTTCGTAAGCTGCTGGACTCCTCCTTGCTGTTTTGGCAGATCCTGAGGCTGCTTGCACACAGAGTCATGGTGGTGAATCCCAAATAATCGGCCAGCCCCTTTCAACATTGCTAGAGGGGAGGGTCGCTTCTTTGACAAATTGAGGACCATTGTGTACACGCGTCTTCCCGGCAGGCTCCCCTTTCACTGCATCAGCTTTGGAAAGCTGTAGGCTTTCCTGTGGTGCTGTGCTGCCTTGGTAACGGAGGTTTGGTGCATGATATTCAAGATCTTCTTGTTAATGTCGGCGCATCAGATTTGCATTTGGCAACCCTGACCATTCTAACATAGAGAAAGTCCAATGTCTCTCTTTCTGGCATTTTAATCTGCAAATTGTAATGTGACCTGTATGGCAGATACTAAATTTCTGCACGGAGGTAGCCTCCTAAGTGGGGAGGCTCTTGGGTCTGTACCAGTGAAAGTCTGTTTTTTGATAATGCTGCTCATTGAACCAGATTTCACCCAAATCTGCTGTTTTCCTCCCTTCCCTTTGGCCCTCCTTTTACACCTTCCTTCAAAGAAGTTGTCTTTCTTGTAACATGGACAATTTTTAGTGAACTCTGCACAGGTGCAGTTGTCTTTTCTTTCTACAGCAAAGAGTCTCTGCCTTTATGGTCTGAGGAACTCTGTGCTAAAGGTGGGATATTATGCATGCTGTTCAAATAGGTTTTTTTTTTAATGCTTCTCCTAGTTATGGCTTCAGAGAACTCACTTGGCAGGGCAATTGGTATGCAGTCAAAATGGTCCAGCCATATTTTGTTTGTAAATGTTATGTACATTCTTCTGTTTTACTTAAAGGCATGGATGACAAAAATGCAGCTAAACTCAATGAACTCATCCAAGTTGGGTAAGTAACCCCCCCCCCCTTTTCCTCCCCACCTCCAAGTATGAAGGAAATGGTTTTACGAAGCAAGCCAGGCAGCAAAATTCATAGGTTAGGGTGAAAGACACTCGCTGCTTTTCAGGAGCGACGTTTTCAGTGTCATCCCAAGGCTGTTGAATTTTGAATAAAGGTATTTTAGGACTACACTGCTAGTTGTTCTCATTATGACCTCTAGAAACTACCTTGGTGATTTTGAGAGATGCCGTTTTTAACTAAAGTAATAAATTCCGCCAGTAAGTTGAAAGAAAAGTAAGGCTTTTTGTGCCTAAGCCAGTCGGAGAGGCATGCCACTCATATTATAATAATAAAGAACACAATCTCTCTCTGTGTGGAGGAGCATTTCGAGCTGCCTGCTTACTGGTGCCACATGGCCGGTTCTCTCCATCCACCCACACCCACCGTTGGAGGCAGCGCGAAAATGCACCTTCTATTTATGCTGCTCTCCATGTTGCAGCATTGCTCTGCATGGCCTTTGAAGAGCTGCTTTGTGCTCATTGCAAGCTCTGTGGCTGCACTCATGTACAGTTCCTCTCCCTGCTGTCGTTTTCAGTGGAAAGGCACCGAGGCTCGTTTTGGCAATCGGGGATGTCAAGGGATTACAATGGGATATGCTGCATTCACTCCTGAAATTGTTACTTGAGCAGGCTGTGTAAATTAATCTAGATCTAATGTGAGCTGTGCCTTAACTGGGATGGCCCAGGCTAGCCTGATCTCATCAGACGCCGGATGGAAGACCTCCAAGGAATACCAGGCTCATGGCACGGAGGCAGGGAGTGGCAAGCCACCTCTGAATGTCTCTTACCTTGAAAACTTTATGGGATCACCATAAGGCAGCTGTGACTTGACAGCACCACACACACACACACACACACACACACACAAAATGTGCCTTGTAGGAATGGACCTGCCTTTCGTATCCCAAACTTCCCTTCGGAATTGAGCTTTGTGAGTTTCCTCGTTGGGCACGTACTGGTGGCTTGTAGCCCCGCCCAGAAGGATGAGCGAGGTTACGATCCTAAGCTCATTTAAAAGGTTAAAGGTTCCCCTTGCTCGAAAGCCAGTCGAGTCCGACTCTAGGGTTGCGGTGCGCCTCTCCGTTTCCAAGCTGAAGAGCCAGCGCTGTCCGAAGACGTTTCCGTGGTCATGTGGCCGGCATGACTAAACAGAAGGCACATGGAACGCTGTTACCTTCGCAGTGAAGTGGTCCCTATTTATCTACTTGCAATTTCTTGCTTTCGAACTGCTAGGTTGGCAGGAGTTGGAACTAGAGATGGGAGCTCACTCCGTCATGCGGCACACTCAGGTCTCAGACTGCTGAACTACCAACCTTCCACAGCCTGCAGTTCAGCGTCTTAACCACTTGAGACACCGCAGCTCCTTTACTAGGGAGCAAATCACATTGAATTCAGTAGGATTTATTGCTGAGTATGCATGGTTAGGATAGCACTGTCACTCTTAACAATGTAAGCAAATACCTTTACGCTTTGTCCCCATAGCTAGCAGAAGTTTTGATTTGGGGGGGGGGAGGGTGTCTGGATGGCATAATAGCACTGAGATTGTTTTAGCCTGTGGCTTTCAATGGAAACTATTGAAAATCGAAACAGTTTCTTTCAATTTTTTTAAATCCCTGTTTGTTTATTAGCAATATGCAGTTGCTTAATTTTATCGGAGGCTGTGGCCATTGGAAAAGAGTTTCTGTGGGAATTCTAAATCGTGAAGACTAAACCAGATAACACAAAGCTTTGCAGTTTCAGTGGCTTGCAGGGCAGTCCTTGCCCAGCTACTGTAGCCTGACCTGAGTGGGCTCCTGGTGCCTCCAAATCTCTAACTTTAAGAATGTTTCCAGGGCTACGACTGTTCGCTACAAAGGGAGGAACCTTCGCATCAAAGCTCCCATGTGCAGGGCTCTGAAGAAGCTCTGTGATCCGGATGGTATGTACAAACCCGGGAGGGACCAAGGAAGTGGGGCAGGTGGTCAAGAAGGAGCAAACAAGAACTCACTTTCTTTCTGCGTGGGGCCTCTGGGCCCGGTCCGTTTATGCTGCCAAAACAGTGCACTGAGATGATGCAAGTGGATATTGAGATATATGTCTAGGTGATAGAGGTAGCAAGCAGTTACTAGATCAGTTTGATCTGTTTGACAGTCCTAGCTGTCATGCTAGTGATTAAGTAATTGCAGCCAGGTGTTATACTAGCAGGTGTTCTCTATCAGGCATTGTTAGAGTCGGTAATTAATTCACCTTGTTAGTCATTGGCTAGGTTTAGTATATTAGCTATCAGCTTGATAAGCTGGGTGGGGACTTAGTCTCTCAAACTAAGGCAGGGTATGCTGTATGATAGCCTATATATCTCTGTGTATATATTCACCATTATATCTATATAAACTTTCTATGCACCTTCATCACCAGTCGGTCTCCAGCTTCTTATTTACTACACCCAATAGTGCAATCCGTGCAGAATTCAGCATGTGCCAAAGCTGCTCTGCTGTTGATGGAATTGTGAGCTGCTCGTGTCCACCAGCTTGCTGGCACTGTGCAGCTCACAAAACCAAACAAGGACCCACGGTAAGTAGGAAAACAGACATACAACAAATACCGTGCACAGATGATTATAACATATTATAAATAGTTTATATTTATTGAACAATATTTTACAATAATTTTTCATATATAATTAATCAATCACAATTCACAATATATCAAAAATATCAAATATCATCTCCATAGATTCTCAAAAGATATTGTACAACCTTATAATTAATAATAGTCCTCCTTAGAGATGTAAAATTTCTGGAAATTTTGAAGCTCGGAAAAATTGAAAAAAATGCTACATTAGCATTTATTTTGTCTTTTCTAGTTTGAAAGTCATTCTGTTACTTTAGGAGCCTAAAATATGACTATGGACATTTTTACTTGGCATGAAATTATCACAACTAGCCTATTAAAAATATAGTTTTTCCAATCAATTATTACAAACAGAATACCCACCCACATGCAAAAACAAAACTGAAACTTTTTTATTTTCTTCTGACAATCGCACCTCCTAAAGGAAAAAATGCATCTTGTTCTTATGATTTGGAAAATATTTGAACACCTTGTCTTAAAATATTTTATTCATCATGTTAAAATAAAACGTTCCATAATCATTTTTTTTCTTTTCTTTTTTCAATTTTTCCAATTTTTCGGGGAAAAACAAAAGGGCTTCAGGAAAAAAACGGGGGGGAAAACAGTTTTCCCCCGAATTTTTCCGGTTTTTTTCTGGGCCTTCACATCTCTAGTCCTCCTCTGTTAAATAAAAGTTTCAAAAGGGAGGACTCCTTAAAGTCTCTTTATAACATGTGCTCTGTCTTCCTCCAACAGCGTTCATTGAAAGAGAACTTTGGATTAAAACTTTGGTATTTGGCAACCTTGTGCTGAAAATTAATGTCGAGCTCCCTGAGGAAACAGAAGGATATCTGGACCTCTGTTGGAGGAAGACAGAGCACATGTTATAAAGAGACTTTAAGGAGTCCTCCCTTTTGAAACTTTTATTTAACAGAGGACTGTTATTAATTATAAGGTTGTACCATATCTTTTGAGATTCTATGGAGTTGATATTTTATATTTTTGATATCTCATATATTGGAATTGTGATTAAGATGATTATATATGGAAAAATTTATTGTAAAAATATTGTTCAATAAATATAAACTATTTATGATATGTTATCATCATCTGTGCACGGTATTTGTTGTCTGTTGGCACTGTGTAGCTGGCAGGCAGATTTTGAGAAATGGCACAATCAGTGCTGTGGCCAAAGGAACTGTAGCTAGTTTGGCACTTTCTAAAGGAACAGTGTTCCAGTTTGGCCATATGTCCAGGCGATCAGGAGATTGGAATGTTCCTCCTATCCTTCTTTTACAAACCATAAGTACTCATGTTGCTGTAAGGAAATATTTTAAATATTCCCCCGCGAGCACTTCGGTCTGGGACGCAACATCTCCTGGCAACGCCAGGTCCCAGAGAGGCCAGGTTGGCCGCGACCAGGGCCAGGGCTTTCTCGGTGGCGGCTCCTACCTGGTGGAATGAGCTCCCGATGGAGATCCGGGCCCTGCGGGACCTTGTACAGTTCCGCAGGGCCTGTAAGACGGAGCTCTTCCACCAGGCGTATGAGTAGGAGCCACCACTACCATCACTATTGTCCATCTTAACCTGGCCCTGGAAGAGGGAACATCAGTGGTTCCCGGAGCAGATGATGCTGAGGAATAGAGCAGTGGAAATAGAGCAGTGAAAGACGCCATCTTGTGAAATAACATCTAGAGCACTTTATTTAGTAATTGGTTCATGTGATTTTATTTGTACTGTAGTGATCTTAAATGATTTTAAATATGTTTTATATTGGCGCAGGCCTCTTTGTAAGCCGCCCTGAGCCCGCGCAGCGGGGAGGGCGGGGTATAAATTGAATAAAATAAATAAATAAAAATATTTAAAGGAAATATTCTTCTTCTCCCCCTTCCACCTGTGCTCTTCACAGAGGTAGCTCCTCATACACGTTTTCACAGCAGAATTTCCTCAGTTGATCAGTCCTTGCATCTTTCATGCCTGCCACCGGCTCCCCCTTTTTTTGAAGTGTGCATGAGCCTGCTCCACAACTCCATCCCCATGGACCACGTGTACAGTCATTATTAGGAGAGCTATTCCTGCTTGATATGGGCCTACTTGCTGTTTCAGCATGGCCAGACATAGGATTCTTAACTCCCAAGGATGTGTTTTTAAGGCGTTGTCACCTGTCAGTGGATGAAAGAGAGTTAGAAACCTCAGCCTTTTTTTCTTCTTTTTTTGTAGTTAACTCTCCTAAAGAGGAGAGAATTTTATTGCTTTAAATTTTTCAGGAAAAGGGGAGGGTATATAGCGGGATTAAGAAAAGTGGTGAGTGGTATCTTTGTTAGTAAATTAATCTTTTATTAGTAACAATAAGTTCTTCAGCTTCTTCTGTGTTTGACTGATCGTCTTTCATCTTCACCTGTAAAAAACAAAATTTTTAGTAATGTTAATAGTGTCCTTTGGGGTTAGTGCAGTCCTTTAATGCGCTCTCCAAACAAATCTTCAAATCTTGGGGTTTCTGAAACCTCGGCCTTTTTAAATTTGGGTCTGTCAAGTGAGCAGAGAAACAGTCTGCTTAGTCCTCAGCACTTGCTCCTAAAGATCAACGAGTGGGTTTTGGGGCACCTCAGCCCACCCTAATCTTTACAGTTAATTTATTTGCACATTTTAAAGCCTCATTTCTGGGAATTGTAACCTACCTTACTTGGCACAGCTTCGTTTCAGAAATCTCTCACGGCTTCTCTCCCCCTTGCCCAGGCATCAGCGATGAGGAGGATCAGAAGCCTGTCCGTCTTCCACTGAAGGTCCCCGTGGAGCTGCAGCCGAGGAATAACCACGCCTGGGCCCGCGTGCAGAGCCTAGCCCAGAATCCACGGCTCAGGTACCATAAAGCAGGAATCCCAGGATGGTTGGGAAGCTGAGCCAAAAGGCTGCTTTCAGAACGACGTCTGCAAAAGTAACCAAGGATGAGCTGATGGCAATGTTTTTGTAAAGGGGAAGTTAGGAAGTGGAATTTTGGGTTTTGCTAGCACAAACTGGGGTCATCCCCCCCCCCCACCTTCGGTGCCAGCAGCTAAAAGGATTTAATTCACCTAAAATGGTTAAGATCCCCGATCTAGTGTTTTGTACATGGTGGATGGTTCATGAATGCCACAGTAGTCTTTCTCTTCCTTCTCTAAGGTGTGCATGATTCAGGTTTTTTTAGTGTTTCTGCTCTGTACTTTCACTATTTCAAACTCCCACCCCACCCCACCCCACCCGCCAGCAATATACAGTCAATTTAAAAACAAAAGCAACAAAAAATGCCTTTACTCAAAAGAGACCTGGATAGCTCATGCTAGCCAGATCTCAGAAGCGAAGCAGGGTCAGCCCTGGTTAGTGTTTGGTTGGGAGACCTCCAAGGAATACCGGGATCGTGACACAGAAGGAGGCCATGGCCAACCACCTCTGAACATCTCTTGCCTTGAAAACCCTACCGGGTTGCCAAAAGTCAGCTGTGACTTGACAGCAAAAACAACAACAAAGTAAAGAAAACAGAAGTAAAATCAATTACTCATCCTCAAGACTGCCAGTGGAAACTTACAGAACCAGGAGCCCTGCAAGCTACAAAGGCCTGAGTGACTAAGAGCTCTTTAATAGATGTCACAAGGTCAGCAAAGCAGATACAAGCAGGGCTATTTTTGGGCAGGAACGTGGCTCCCAAGTTGGCCACGCCCAGCAGGAGCTCATTAGCATAATAGGCCACACCCAACAGCAGAAACTCATTAGGATTGGCTACATTAGGGGTGTGTGGCCTAACATGCAAAGGAGTCCCTCCTACAAAAAAAGGCCCTGGGTTTTGACAGCAAACAAGGTAAACAGAATAAGAAGCAAAAGGTGGGTGTGGCTGGATGACCTAAATTCTGGTAACATGGGGGTGTGGCCTAATGTGCTAATGAGCTGTGCTGTCAAGGGTGTGGTTCAATATGCTAATGAGTTCCTGTTGTTGGGTGTGGCCTATTATGCTAATGAGTTCCTGCTGGGCTTTTTCTACAAAAAGAGCCCTGGCAAGTTGTGTTACAACTCAAAAAGGGCCTCTTTCCGAAAGGGGTGGGGCCCCCAGAGCAGCTGATCTTCAACCCCAGGCGGGTTTATATAGGAACAAGCACTCCTTGAGATACTTTCCATCCCTGACAGTTTTAGGGCTTCAGACGCCGATGCCGTCAGTCTGCGTTGCGTTTGAAGACAAATTGGTTAGCGGATCTTTCGGCATTTGCTGGGATAAGATCAGTTCGGCAGCATCCACTTTGACAGTCTTGCTGCCGTATTTCCAAACCCACTGAAATCTCCCAGGTGCTTGTTGTAGGCAGCCCCACATCCACCATATTGGAAGGTAAAGGTAAAGGTTCCCTTGCTCAAAAGCCAGTCGAATCCGACACTAGCGTTGCGGTGCTCATCTCCGTTTCAAAGCCGAAGAGCCAGCGCTGTCCAAAGACGTTTCCGTGGTCATGTGGCCGGCATGACTAAACACCAAGGCGCACGGAACGCTGTTACCTTCCCACCGAAGTGGTACCTATTTATCTACTTGCAATTTCTTGCTTTCATTACCTTCCCACCGAAGTGGTACCTATTAGGGGTGTGCAAAAAAAAAAAAATCGGTAAAATTCGGATTCGGGTTTATTGAACCCGAATTTTTTCGGGAAACCCGAAAAAACCCGAATTTCTATACCGGTAAACCATAGATATCCGAAAATTTTCAGAAAACCCGAAAAATTCGGGTCCATTATAACCAATGGGGCCATTGAAGTCAATGGCAAAAAACCTCTTGAAACTTTGCGGGGG